ACCCCACCCTACAGGAAAATAGAAGAGGAAGGGGATAAGAGAAGGGGGGAGATAGAAGGGATGGCAGATTAGGGGAAAGGGAATTCAGAATGTACGCTGTCTTGGGATTGGGGTAGGGACGAGATGGGGAGAAAATATGGAACTCAAAATCTTGTGGATGTGAATGTTGAAAACTAAAAATAAATAAGTTAATTAATAAAAAAAAAAGGTAAGGGACAGAGTCCTGGTAGACAGGCAAGAACCAACCCATTCCTTTCAGTCTCATAAGTTTCTTGAGTACTTGGAGATACTCACAGAAACACTGTTTAATGCAGAAATCTGGGTGGGCCTGATTAGGAGTGGTTTTTGTCTATGTAGGACAAGAAGAAGGGGGAATGTCCCTGGGCTTGTTTGCCTTTCCTGGGGTGTGACTCCCACTGACTGTCCCTCTGTCTTCCTTTGCATAGCTTCGGACAAACAGACCCTGCTGACTAATGACCAGCTTTACCAGGTGAGTAATGGGAGACGATAGAGCCTCTGGTAGGACTAGCTGGGAACAAAGCCTTTAAATTTTAAAGCAAGTGACTCAGAAGGATCAGCTTAGGGCAGGAAATGCTTAGGACACACCAAGAACTTGAGTGCCCTCCTCCTCCCCTCTTCCCCCACCACCCCAAATGAGGGAATGCTGAGATAAAGGGAAACTTAGGTCAAGGCCCAAGGAAGAAAATTTGAAAAAAGTGATATGTGAGGCTAAGTGAAGTTTTAAGTCTTAATAAATTTTAACAAACTTTTAAATACTCTAAGACTTTTGGCACACTCCACATGCACATAGAAATGGAGAGGCTCATAAGGGGTTGTGCTTTATCCCTACCTCAGCTCTAGATAGTGCTTTGCACATAGTGGACACCTAGTGAATGGATGAATGAATGAATGAGAGGATGTAGGAAAGAATGTGCTGATTTTGTTGTTCCTTCTCAGCCGCTCAGAGACAGAGAAGATGACCAATACAGTCACCTTCAAGGGAGTCATCCCCAGAAGAAGTGAGCTCCCAGACTCAATCCGATGGTGCCTTCCCACTCCCTAAAACCTAGAACCCTTACCTCTGCAATTCTGACTGCTTCTAAATAGGGTTCCCCCTTTATAGCGTGACTGTAACCATCCATCCCTCCTGATCTCCACTGACAGGGCTCTACTTAGCCCCAGCACAAGCTGTGCAGTCGGACTGATTGGGGCAGCTCCCTTCCCAAAGTGCCAGGGCCAATGTGCATTTTCTTGATGATTTGCTGTTAATGACATTTCAAAAACATGTTCACTGTGTGCCTGCAAAATTCTTCTCCAGCTGTGCCTGGAGCATTCTAGGCACTGAATAAATATGCATTACTCAATTGTTTGGAAGCACTCTGCTCCAGAAGGCAGACCTGAAAATGATAAAGGAGACAGGCCTGGTTTCTTTAACTAGCTGTTTCTGTTCTTGACTGGCCAACCCTGGCAGGGAGACTTTCGGACATCAAGGTCAGTCTCTGACTGCAGTCTCAAAGCACTTAGGGGCCCCAGGGATGATTCGGAGAGGGAGAGAGAGGAGATTCTGTCATATCCAAGTCGGGTTTGGCATGACAGCTGACGTCCTTCCCAGCACCTCCTGTAACCGGCTCCCTCCCCAAAAGGACGCCTTAAGCTGCATCTCACACGTGCCATCTACTGGTAGGTCATTGTCTGAAAAGGAAAGATGGAAGGGCAAGCAAGTGAGGCCTCACACATGTGTGTCACTTTGAGCTCTTCCACAGTGCTTTATAATAACTTACATTTACACAGCACTTTAAGGTTTATAAAACACTTTCTAGACAAGGCCTTACTTGATCCTCATAACTATCCTTTCAAGTAAGAAGTACAACTATGATCACTGCCATTCAATGATGAAAAACTGAAGCTCACAGAATTCATTTCAGAGGATCACAGAACTAGAAACAGATGAGATCTCGGGAGCCATCTAATCCAACCTCCTCATTTTCTATGTAAAAAACTGAGGCTCATGGACGTAAAATGAGTTATTTGCCCAACTTCACATAGAGGTGGAATTTGAACCCAGGCCCTCAGACTCGCATAGCCAGTGATCTTTAGAATCATAAATCTAGAGGTAAAAGGAATCTTAGAAGTGATCTAATCCAACTGTGTATTTTACAGATAAGGATACTTAGGCCCAGAAAGATTAAGTTTAGCAAACTGGATGAAGGATGGAGGATCTATTAAATGTAGCCTACACGCAAGACACTAGGGACAGAATGAAAGACAGATAAAAAACAGTCTCTACTGTCAGGGAGTTTACATTCTACTGAAGAGGATATACCATTTAAGCAAATAAACAATTGGAATGCAATCTGAGGAAAGAGATAACACTAAAACAACTCACAGCTATATTTTGAGGTAACTCTGTATGGGAGCAAAAAACCTCAGATGTTCTGAGCAAAGAGATATGGTCACAGTTTCAATGCCACAAGTTCAGGAATAGAAGGGTTTAAAAATACAAGACATTACTTTCTGCTACAAATTTCCTTAAGAACAGGGACTGCTTCTAGTCCTTCATGTGTATCCCAATACATAGAATCACGGAAAGCTTACTTAGGAGATACCATCTCAGTTGCATCCTGAAGGAAGCTAAGGTTTATCACTATAAGAGGCAGACTAAGGGAAGGGATTTGCCTATTATCCTATAGCCGTTAGGTGGCAGAACAGGGACTCAGTCTCAGGTCTCCTCACTGTAAATTGGTGCTCTCCCCACTACACCCCTGCTGCTTTTTAATAAGAGTTCACATTTACTTAGTACGTGAAGGTCTTCAATTCCTCCTTTTGAGTCTCTTGCTGGATCATCATCCATATGCTACCCCCATGGGGATGTCCCCACGCTCTGTCCTAGTCCTTCACTCTTCTCTCTACACTCTCCATGAGCTCATTGATTCCCAAGGATTCATTTATCATCTACATACTATATGATCTGATATACAGTAAGTGCTTAATAAATGCTTTTCCATTCCATGCCATGATTCCCAGATCTATATATCCAGTCCTAGTCCCTCTCCTGAACTCCAGTCCCAATACTACCAAAATTATTATTAGTCATTTTGAACTATATGTACCGAAGGCCTCTCAAACTCAAAAATATCCAATGCAAAACTTATTCTCCAAAGCCACTCCTCTTCCCAACCTTCCTGTTTCTGCCTAAGGCACCACTATACTTCCAATCATCTAGGTTTGCAACTTCATTGGAACAGTGCCAGCCCTGGAGTCAGGAAGACCTAAGTTCAGATCTGATGACACTAACTAGCCGTATGATCTGGGCAAGGACACTTAACCTCTGTTCGCTTCAGTTTCCTCATCTGTAAAAATAGGGATAATAATTGTACCTACCTCCCAGGGCTATTGTGAGGCTCTAATGAGATGTTTGTAAAGCACTTAGTATAGTGCCTGGCATGTAGTAGGTGCAATATAAATGTTAGCTATTATTAATATTATTATCCTCAATTCCTAACACTCTCTCATCCCACATATCTATTCAGTTGACAAGTATTGTCAATTTTACCTCAGTAACATCTACCACATCCATACCTTTCTCTCAATTCACGTAGCCATCACTATCACCCTAGTTCAGGCCTTCAAAACTCTTGTCTGGATTATTAAACAGTTCCTGAACCAGTCCCCACTTGAAGCCTCATCTTTCTCCAATTCAACCTCCATACAGTTAACAAAACAGTATGGCTAAAGAACAGCTCAATCATGTCACTCCCGTTTCATAAGCTCCAGGGGGTCTCAGTGTTGCCTCTTCTGTTTGGTGTTTAACCCCTTCACAATTCGGTTCTAACTCTTCTTTCCAGATGTATTTCATATAACTTCCCGTCCCACACTCTGATGCAGCCAAACTGGCTTTCTTACTGTTCCTCACACATGACTTTCTATCTCCAAAAGCCTATGCCTTTGCATAGGCTGTCCCCAATGCCTGGATTTTCTCTCTCTTCACCTCTGCCTTGTAGAATCTCTTTCTTCAAAGCTCAGCTCAAGAGCTATCTCCTACATGAGTCCTTTCCTGATCTAATGCCACTCCCCATCCCATTTCTTTTATTTACTTTGTATATATCATGTATCTACTTATATGAATACATGTGTTTCCTCATAGAATATAAGCTCTTTGACGGCAAAGACTGTTAAATTTTTCTTTGTATCTCAAGTGTTTAAAATACTGTTTAGAACAGTCACACAGAAGGTGTGACACTGGTTGACTGAGGCAGGTTGATGGGTAAGGTATTATTATACCATTTAATGGATGATGAAAAAGACACAAAAAAGGTTAAATGACATGTGTCCCAAGATTAACTCTACTCTTTCCAAGTCTACTGCTCCTAGCTCACTTACCCAGGACTGGGTGATTTATAGATCTTTTTATAAAACAGAGGCATATATCTGCCAGGCAACAGGTATATTTTTTTGAGAGCCCATTGGGTTTATGTATTGGGATACACATTAATGATTAGAAGCAGTCCCTGCCCTTAAAAAACTCATAGCAGAAAGTAATGTCTTAGAGTCTTGAACCCTTCTACTCCTGACATTGTAGCACTGAAGTTATAGCAAGCCTTGCACATGTCTCCTTTCCACCACTGCTCTGGTTCAGGGCCTCTCACCTGGGCAGCTGTAATAGCCTCCTAACTTCTCTTCCTGCCTCCAGTCTCCCAGGCTTCAGTCACACAATTGACAAAATAATTTTCCTAATTCACAGGTCTACTCTGTCATTTCCCTTCATAATACCCTCAGTGGTCCCCTATGGCATAAAGGATAAGATAGAAATAACTTATCAAGGTCCTGCACAATCAGGATCCTACCTACCTTTCCAGTTGTATTTCAATCCATACTCCTTCATATATGCTCCTTCTCCCTCCCTACCCCACTTTGAACTAGTTCCCTAGGAATTCCCAGTAAGCAAACTCCATCTACTGATGCAGATTGGTTGCTACTCTGCTGCTTATAGTCTTAGAGGGTTAACTAAAGGATTGAGACTCCAAGTGATTTCCCCAGGGTAACATTGCAGGGGCAGCTAGGTGGCACAGTGGATAGAGTGCCAAGCCTAGAATCAGGATGACACATCTCTGTGAGTTCAAATCTGGCCTCAGACACTTACTAGCTGTGTGACCCTGGGCAAGTCACTTACCCCTGTTTGCTTCAGTTTCCTCATCTGTGAAATGAGCTGGAGAGGCAATGGCAAACCACTCAAGTAAACCCCAAATGGGATCATGAAGAGTCAAACAGCACTGAAAAACAACCGAACAACAACACTGCTAGTATGGGTCAGAGGCACAGTTTGAACCCAGCCCTTGCTAACTCTGGCCCTCCACCTACCACACTATACAGCTTCTCCAAACACTCTATATTCTAGTCAATCTAGATTATTTATCCCTCTCCTTTCCTGCTTTTATGTACTGACATAGGCTGTTCCTCTCACCTAGAAAATTCTCTTTTTTCAAGGCTGAGCTAACTACCTCCTTCATGAAGCCTTCACTGATCCCCCCAGCTGCCAAGTTCTTTTTCCTTCCTCATATTTCTTATGAGCACTTTGTCTAAAGTATTAAGCAAGTGTCCACAACTATTTTTATTAGCATGCTCTTCACATTTTTGTCGTTCTTACATCCTAGCTTAAAATAGACTTATTTGTATCTTATTCTTCCAAATTATAAAATAATCAAACTCTGGGCTTACATAGACTGAGCTTCATCTTGGGGTATGACCCTCAAAATTATTCTCTGTAGCTCATTTTGTTCCTATATAGAGTCATATCTAGGAAATCTCAGAAAATAGCTCATGTATATCTATCTCCACAGAAGCAGATAAAAAAGTTTCAGAACTCATACAAGCACTTATTAGGTATAGGACAACCTTTATTCTGTCCCACAGAAAATGTACAAAATACACAAAGGATTCAGAGAAGCCCATAAACAATTGATATTTTCCTTTCTGATTTACTGAATTCCATCTTCCACCCAGTACTTATGCAGTCCTCCAGACTTACAGCACCACCCTGTGGTCTGAACTCCTCTTGGAAAAAAAAAATGAACAAGTCACTAGAGAAGCCTTCCCTTTCCCTATAGGTCATACTGAGTCAACACCAGACATCTGTTCAACACGGCTGCCTGAATGCAACACCCACACACCTATTCCAGCAAAACCTAAAATTCACACCAGTCCAAATAATGATCAAGAAATCCAATGATGACTATAGTGACTTCTTCTACCCCAGCACTGCACAAAAAATCAGATAATCCCATAGGCAACAGGAAATGAGGGTTGCCAATAAAGCCAGAGCCAGCACAGGAAAACAAGCTGGTAGCCTCCGAGTGCAACTAGAAATGAGCCAAAGACACATAGCCTACAAGATTCTGTGTTCCAAGGTAATAAGGGGGTAGAGTTCACCTGATCAAAGTCACAGAATGGTCACAAATCCCTACCATGGTCAGAAATCCCAGTAGGGACCCTGCAAGTCACCAGGAGTGGCAGCAGCATTCATACTGGAATACTATAGGTGCCATCTATTACCTCCTGAAAATAATCCCCAAAAGGAAAATCCCTGGAACGTCACAGACAAAATCCAGAATTCCCACATCCAAGAAAAAAAAATTACCATGAATCCAGAAAGCAGCAGTCAGGTACCAAGGGAACCATAGTCAGGATTATGCAATACCTGACTTCTACTTAAAATAAAAGTAGATATTGTAATTTTATATTCAAAAGGCATAATAGATTTAGCATTAAGAATAATCCTGAGAAGAAGTACAATCTTACCAAAGAGAAAAGTGGACCTTTACCTAAGGAAATGTTGGCAGGGAGGTAGTATAGTGAATAGCACTGGGCTTGGAGTAAGGAAGACCTGAGATCAAATTTTGCCTCAGATACTAACTAGCTGTATGACTTTAGGCAAGTCACTTCACCACTGACTCAGTTACATCAATTTTAAAATGAGGATAATAATAACACCAACCTCTCAGGGTTGTTGTGAGGATTAAATTAAATACTTGTAAAACACTTAGTATAGTACCTGTTGGCACAAAATAGGAGCTATGTAAATGCTAGCTGCTATTATAATTATTATTGTTACTATTGTCCTTCTAATAAGAAGCCTAGAATTGAGGAGGAATTTTGAAATATATACTGAGAGAAACCTAGAAATCTTGCAAATTGTTTTGAGCAACTAGAAGGGTATATATGACAATATAATTCTTACATCTTAATAAGGAGAGAAGAAATAAGTAGTCCTTTGGAACCTTTATGTCTTCAAAGGATAATTTTTTTTAAGAGATTCCCAGCATTTGGGGTGGGGATTGGCTCAGTTTAGAGGATTTGAAGAGAGGAAAAAGAAGGGATGATAAAAGGAGGAAAATCCTGGTGTATAAAGGAGAAAGAAGGGGGTGGAACTTGCTGTTTCGCATAAATGGGGTATGTGAGAAGAGCATTAAAGGGTGGGGGGCACTGGCATCAGATGAAACGTACTCCTCTCTGAAATGGATAAAAGATTAAATATACAAAGAGGTTGGTACAGAGCTGGAAGGGGCTTTAAAAGATCATTTCATCCAACTCCTTCATTTTACAGATGAGAAACTGAGGCCCCGAGAAGGGAAATGATTTAAGGTCAAATAGTAGCTGGAGTCACTCCTACAGGCAAAGCTGACTGTTCAGTTTTCAATGTGAGCGCTTAAACCTTGGAAATCTGTAAACACTACAAATTAGGGCTTGATTCGTTGTTTCTTTGATTGTCTAGACTTAAGAAAGTGATGGAGAAAACGTTAACAATGCAAACTAAATTTAGAAGTGTGGCTGTGATGTTTTGGATTTTGTTTTTTTGTTGTGTTTTTTTTTTTTCTGGAGAACCAGTTATCAAACATTTGCCAGTATACCCGATTGGAATTCATGTTTTCTGACCCCAAATCCAATACTCTTTCCACTAGTCATCCACATGATGTCTAATAATAATAACAGGAACTCCTTGTTGTCATTCAGCAAGCTTTTGATAGATGATAAACTTTATAGATGAGTGGTCTTTTCATTACATTACGGAATGTTATGAGGAAAAAAAAAACACTTCAAACCCCCGAGTTTTCGTTATAATAATTAATATATTACATAAAATTTTACTATTATTATTATACAACAAAGGCTTGTGGATGCTTGGAAATGGACCATTATGGAGAGGCATCCGTGAATGGCTAATGCAAATGTGGGGTCAGAAAATGTGAGTTGCAATCCTGGCTCAACCATATTACCTCGGACAAAGCCCGTCTCCTCTCGCTTCTCGAGGACCTCGGTTCCTCATCAGTATAACGAGGGGGTGGACTAAACGACCCGTGTAGCCCTCCCGAGTTACAATCCTATGTTTGAGCAGGACACGTGGCGTGCCGTGCCAAGGCCATTGTTTGGCTTTCCTTTTCTTCTCCCCGCCCCTGTGGCACGGGAAAGACTGGGAAAGGTGCTGCTTCCGCTCGATCTCACAGAGGCCCCCTCTTTCATCCCCCGCCCTCCACCCATCGCCAACCTTCCCTCCGCCCCGGCAGGAAAGGCAGCTACGCCCAGCCCGCCAAGGAGGCCCTCCCGGCCACGGGCCGCGCTTCCGGCGCCCCGGTGTGACGCGAGGCACGGGCGCCTGGCCGATGACGTCAGCTCCGGTTGCCGGGGCTGAGTCGGAAGTGTTGAAAGCCCTTGGCCTCGGAGAGTTCCCGGTGCTGCCGCCGCTGGCACCCTCAGGCCCCGGTAAGAAGGAGTGCGTCCCGTGAAGGAGGCGGCGGCGCAGGGACCCTCCGGCAGGATCCGCCCCGACCCCCTCGCCCCGTCCCGAGGCCGAAACCCCGCTACCAGACGGCTTCCCTCCCCCGAGTCCCCTGTGCTGTGCTCGGGACCCCTCCTCTTCCTGCACCCCCACCCGTATTGAGCGTCCCTACGCCTCTGAAGCCCCCTCCCCTTTACTGGGAGGCCGCGGGAGGAGAGACGTGGGGGAGGACCTTGGGCGCCCCGGGGTCGCAGTCTCTTTTGACACCCCTCCTTTAGGGCGTGCCACGCGTGGTGGGGTCGGGGCAGCGGGGCGGGCGATGGTCCCGGTTCCGACCCAGGCTTGGCCGTGGGACCCTGGAACTCTCGTGGAGGAGGCAGTCGCAGGACTGAGGGCTGGAGGAGACACAGAGTGGGCTCCAAGAAGGGGCGGTGAATCCCGCCTCTGCCCGGTGCTCGTCCCGTGACTCCTCCCTGGGCGCCCGCGCGTCCCAGTGAGGAAGTTTGCGGAGTGATGCGTGTGTTCCCTCTTGCCGCTGTGTCGGGCCCGGGAGCCGGTGCAGCCCGGTGCTAGGCGTGGGCTCCGGTAACGGCTTGCAGACTGCGTAGCGGCCGCCCCACGGCCAAGGCGGCGCTTTGCCAGCTGGATGCAATTGACAGGTTTCACTTGGCCTCGCATTCCACTCCAGCGTGGTATTCTCTCCTCCCACCTCCGAACTCCCAAGGCTTGTTTACTTGATTATGTTACCACTCAATTCTTGGCCCCAAGTGGATCCCGTTTAAGACAAAGTTGGAGTCTCACGAAGAACTTTTTGGTCTGATGAGGCATGTAAAATCCCGGTTCGATTGTTCTCAGATATTTTTTGGAGAAATGGATAGGTAGTCTAAAGCAGCTGATAGACCAAATGACTTAATAATGAAAAGAGGCCCTGGATTTGAAATCTGAAAATTTGGGTTCAGATCCTAATTCGGTGTGACTTTAGCATGGTGCCTCAGTTTTCACCTTCCTCATCTGCCAGTTCACAGAGTTTGCCTAGAGGACCAACCCCTAAAGTCCCATCTGGCTCTAAATCCTATGACCCTAGTCTAGGTACTTCTGTCAGCCTGGTTGTTTATTTGTAAAAACAGGAATAGTAATACTCCCCAACTCACAAGGTTATTGTAGGGTAAAGCACTTTGTAAACCTTAAAGCACTACATAAATGTGAATTATTATTTTTAGAGGATATGATACCTTAGTGGTGTGGGCACAATTGGAATGAAGGTAGATTTCTGTAAACACATCCAAGGTAGGTGAGCTTAAGGGGTGTGACTTGGTAAGGCCTCATTTTAGTGGTCATGGATTTTTTTACAAGTAGTCCACATGTTACTCTTCTATTCAGACAAGCCCTGATGTCAGAAAGCATGTGTAAAATATTTTAAAAGGCTTGCCTTTTGATACTTGGCAACAGTATAAAATAGTATAATTCATAGGCAAAATTTGGTAATCAGAATGATGGTTCATGTATCTTGTGGGAACAGAGATGCTTGTGTGTATCTAGTCAGAGGGAACAAAAACATTAGTGATACCATTTGGGACTTGCACTGGGAATTTTTCAGATAATTTCTTAGATCCATCAGAGAGGAATTTTATTATTTAGGAGAACACACGTTCAAAAAGAACTGAGTCCAAAAGTTTCTTAAGGATTTGGATTTAACAATTTGAGGGCAAAGGCTGTCTTTCTTTTTCTTATTTGTATCCCTAGTGCTTAGCACAGTGCCTGCACATAGTAGGTGATTAAGTTTATCATATCATCTGTGGCAGATAAAAATGAAAAAAAAAGTTTCTTTAGAAACTTTATTAAAAATAAGAGTTTTGTTTCTTTGGCTAACCTCTGACTAGTCTTTTATTTATGCATTTTTGTACTTATAGAAATACTTTTTCTCTATTTCTTCAGTGTATTCTTTTTAAAAATCATTGAGCAAATACAGTAAACATTTGTTAAGTTCTTTTGGTGTGCCTCTAGGAAAAACATTGAAATAGATAATAATGGTGATAACACTGCACTTTAGGTTTGTTCACTACTATATATACATTATCTCATTTGACCCTCACAACTACCTTGTAAGATAGGTACTGATGACCTCATGTTACATACAAGTAAACAGACCTGGAGAGATCATGTAACATGTCCAGCATCACATAGCTAGTGAGTTTCTCTGTAGGCTTCAAACCTAGATCCTCTTGACTCCAAGTTCAGTGCTATTCACTAATAAAAATAACAGCTAACGTTTATGTAGCTCTTCAAGGTTTGCAAAACACTTTACATATATATTAACTCATTTGATCTTCACAACTATCCTGAGAGGTAGATGCTATTATTATCCCCATTTTCCAGATGAGGAAACTGAGGCAGACAGGTTAAGTGACTTTCCCATGGTCACTAAGCTTGTGTCTGAGGCAGAATTTGAACCCAACTCTTTATCCACTCTTATCACCTACTGCATTTCACAGTGCTGCCTTTAGCAAAAGTTCTTAACCCTCTGAGTCTGGGATTCCATGAACTTGTATAGGAAAAAAAATTACATCTTCATCTTCACTAACCTCTACCTGAAATTTAGCATTTCCTTCACTGATAAATGTAGGCATCAAACCTTCCCTGAACTGCCAAAGGAGAACTCTACTCTTATAGGCAGCAGAATGAAGAATGGGTCTGCCTGCACTTAGGAGAGGCAGTTCAGTACTTCGGAAGGACTGCTGTACTTAGAGGCTTGGGATCAGAGTTCAAATTCTGGTGCTGCCACTTATCACCTCTGTGACCTTGGACAAGTCACTTAAACACTTAAGGCCCAGATTTCCTTGTCTGTAAAATGAGGGGTTTGGACTATGTGACCTTGAATTCCCTTTCCACCTCTAGATCTACAATCCTGTGATCCTAAGTAGCTTATAGTGTAATAAGGGAATATGACACCAATACAGATAACTGGAATGCGTACAATTATATAAGTGTACTAAAGAGTTAGAAAGCAAAGTTCAGTGTAAGGTCTTGGGATGGGAAGGAAAGGTCATTATCTTCAGGGTAAATATGAAAGGCTTGCTTCAGGAGGAATTGAGTTTTAAAGGATGTGAGGGAAGAGTATTAAATGGCAAAAGGAATAATGTGAGCAATGAAAGAGAGGTAGAAAGGGGTTAATGAAGGAGAGAGTGGTGGTGAGGATAGCACAAGTTGGTTGGAGTATACTCCAGTACATGGGGCAGTAGTATGAAATAAAGCTCAAAAGGTAAGAAAGGCCAAATTGCTCAGGACTCTGAATGCAGGCAAAGAAATAAAATTTTACTTGGTAGGTATTAGAGACTCCCTGAAGCATGGGTATTTTTTGCCAAGGAAAAACATGACCAGATTTGTGGTGTTTTTTTTTTTTTTATTCTGGCAGTGGTGTGAGGAATGGATTGAAGGAAAGAGATTCTAAATGGGAAGACATATAAAGAGGCTATTGCAGCGCAGTCTAAGGAGGTAGAGAGGTAATGTACTGGAGTGGAAGTAGCTTTGGAATAGAGAGGAGCAAACACGTTTCAGATGTTGGAATCAATAGACTTTGTAAATGATTGCATTTGAAAAGAGAGGGAGAAGGATAGGTGAAGTTTGAGATACAGTATCCAGTAAGTGTTTGCAAAGGAATGATCAGACCAGTAGAACCATTAGGGTTCTGTCAAAAACCCCAGCATAAGGAAGGTGGGAGACTAAGTGAATCATACATTACCATACGAAGAAATAGTGATGTCAAAAGGAGCAACGGGTTTAGAGAGAATTAATGAGCTTGATTTTGGATGTTAAGTTTGAGGTGCAAGGATCAATCTTACCTTCTCTAGTTGTAGGAGAGCACCACTACCAATCTTAGTGTCTGTGGAAAAGATGAACTAGTGGGAAAAAAGCAGATTAAAACCCATTTAGTTTTCTGGGGTACTAGAAGTTTGTGTCCTTTCCCTTCCCGTAGACCATTATGAAATACCAAAATTAGTACTATCCCCATTTTAAAGACTAGAAGTTGAGTGACTTGCCCAAGATAACATGGCTAGTGGGTAGAAGAGTTGAGCCTTGACTTGGTCCTCTTTTGCCATGTTCAGTGACCTTTCTACTTGCAAGCTGCTTCTCAGTATTACATAAAGCCTTTGTGCTAGAAAAGGCTATCAGTACATTAGTCATAAGGACATCCAAATAGAGCTAATTTCATATAAGGTGATTAAGATTTTTGAGATTGTGTTACCTCTTCTGTATTTTGCAGGAACACCAAGTTAACTGTGGTATGAAATCGCCATGTAATTCTTGATAGCCTAGAGGTTTTTTCTCTTATGTTCTTAATAATAGCTGATATTGCTGGAGCACTATAAGGTTTGCAAAATACTTTATACATATTATTTCATTTGATCCTCACAAAGGTCCTGTTATGATATGAACTTTTTTTTTGTCTTGACATTTGATTTCATTGATGTAGGGGAGTTTTTGGTGAAGAAACTCCTTTCAGTACAGATTAGTAACTGTTCTACAATATATAACCTTAGAAAATTGCCAGGAAGCACTGAGGAGTTAAGGAACTTTCTCTGGGTCTTTCTGGGGGTAGGAACAACAGGTATTATTATCCCCATTTTACAGATCAAGAAGCTCAGTTTCAGAGAAGTCAAAAGATTTGCCTATGCTAGTAATTGTCAGATGGAATTTGAACCCAGGTCCCTAGAGACTCTAAATCCAGCACTCCTACACCATGCTGAGTGACATTCAATTCATTTTGCTTCTAAATGTAGCATCCCATAGGCTTCAAGATCTGAGTGTCATATGATATTTGAGAAAGCTGTTGACTCCCAGAAATTCCTTTGTGCCTCAAAGGGAGTAGTAGCCTATCCAGTAATTTTGAATGTCTCAAAAAGTTAGTTCATATTACATATGCCAGTTGGGAGGGAAACACTGTACACTAATCTCTCCGCTAATTGCCACTTAATTCGTTGTAGTAGTGTAGTTCATTTCAGTTTCCCTGTTAATTTATTCCATCTCCCTTTATGAGCTATGAATCTTGTTTAAATTGTATGCAACAAAGTATAACATTCTACTTACCTGATACAATAGAGCCCAGCACCATGCTGAGAAGAAATTTATGGCATCGGCCTAAGTTGTACTATTACTAATGGGGTGTGTGGGGTGTTCAGAAGGACTGGCACCTCTGATGTGAGGCCTTGCTTAGTCTTTTTCAGGGCTGCTCATCCACCTCTGTACTCTCTCCTGTGGCTCTACCAAGCTGTATTATGTGCAGTGGCCACATCCCACTAAAACCATCTCAGCAGATGGGCTAAACCAGGTTGAGGGTAATCAACAGGCCTCAAACCCATCAGTGAGTTAAGGAAATGTCTGTTCTAAACACATGAAGGAAGAATGGGAGGTTGAGAACAATTTGTTCCAACAGTCATGAAGGTGGCTGAAGCAGGTGCTATGGAGCACTTAGAACTTGGCCTAACATTGAAGATTCAAAGGTCATCCACTGCATCCCAGGCCATCCCCATTCACCTGGACTTTTGTTTTGCCACTGGATTCAATGACTGGAAGAAAGAGTGAGGCTTTGTGCAGCCCTGCCTCACTTAAACCCAATTCACACCCCATCACCCATGATGTCACTGGTGCTTTTCAAAAACAAAGGACAAACAACAGCTGTTCCTAATTGACCNCCCAATTCACACCCCATCACCCATGATGTCACTGGTGCTTTTCAAAAACAAAGGACAAACAGCTGTTCCTAATTGACT